TGCTCTGTGATATCCCGACAAAAAAGGCGAGACGACACAACTTAAGATGGACCAATAAGAAACCGGTGTTCTGAGCCAATCAAAATCTGCCTCGTTCAAACAGGAATCATGCATAAATCAGAAGAACTACTAGTGATCAATACCGTCTCTGTTGATGATATTTTTAGTACATATCATTAGATCGCATTGATTTCTCTCATTAAAATAACTACTACTCGTGTAGCCTTCTCTCTTTATCGAGAGATTTCCTCAAACGGTTGTTTGTATGGTTTAGTGTTTAGATTGTGATTCTAGTAGGTTTCCCACCCCTCTTTTTTATCTTTTTATTTTATTCAATAGACTTTGATCCAGTTTTCAAGGAGGGATAAGCAGGGCTTCAAAAGGTTTTAAAAGTAAACTCCAGTTACTATCATCAGTTTATCAATAGCGCAAAATTTGACAATTACCACGGTCTATGCTCCAGAATTACGGATTTTGTCTAAAGCTTGACGGAGAAAGGTGTATCGAAGTAGGTCTTTTTTTACTGTGTTTATTATCTTTGGCAAGTTAATGTATTCACCTTTCATGAGGAGAGTTCATTCTAAATGGAGATAAGGAACGGTAAGCATTCGCTTTTCTGTGGTATCACTTTTGATTCATTTCAGGGCTTGTGAATGCAAATCAATGTACGGCTTATATTACGTTTGAGACTTTTACTCGCAGGAGTATAGCATGTCGGACGGAAACACTGAAGTTTAACAAGGTGTGTCAAATGGTTTGACGATACGGGCACATCGCTTAAATCGTCTCCAATCAACAGGTGTTGCTGCGTGCAACCACCACACCTCATTTCTTAACCAAGGTTTACATTATCGACATTTGTAGAACGTACGACGTTTCAACATCCGTTGACCTCAACATGTTCCGATACATTTTGATCTGATTCACGTACTGCGGTCTGACTGAAGTTTGTGCGTTGAGGCTAAACGACTACGGGTCGTGGCTAAAGCATCGTGAGTTTCGGCTAAAGGAATGTGGGTTTTGGCTAAAGCTTGATCGGAAAGGTGTAGAATCCTTGATACAAGCATACTACACTCTACTTCAATCATCACCATGTATTGTCTAGGTCTGACCGCATCCTCACTCGTCATTGGTCAGGCGATTCAGCATCCAACGCTCGTGGTGCTGCCTATGTCAGGATTGCGCTGTTTCAGGGCTGAGCGCTTACTCCTTCACTGGATTCCGGTTAGCAGCCAACTTTGTGCTGTTCATTTCGTTGGCTCAGTGCCGATCAACAGTTAAAACAACAGCTACCGTCGGTGCTCATTCGGCGTGTCTCTGTCTGAATCGACGGACTGCAGGCCGCCTGAAATGCGGAATTAAATCCATCATCACTGCTACAAAGTGTTTACACAACGGGCATGGTAGCAGTCGCCGACGACTTTATTTCCCTATTGAGATCCCTGGAGGAAAAAAAAATTACCTAGGGGACTCATATTCATTCCCAGCCAACCCGGCGGACAACGGACTTCACCTACGTTAACTTCACGTGGAACACGGATGGTTCCCAACACTCATCAAATTCTCCCGAAAGAAACGGTAGTGACCTACATGGTAACTGTTTAATATGTTCTACCCGTTTCCCCAACATTCCCAGTTTCTATTGTTCTCGGCCTCATATTCACCGCACTTATTGATCAGATTTTAATCTACGGTGGATGTCTTTATGTGAGGCTGCATCCTGCATCCCACCTACCCTATGTCGGCACCCCTTGTTAGTTCATGATTCTTCATGTGACCCTTTCGATTACCTCCCGGCATGCACACCTAACCTGGACTGACCGTATCGAACTCTGATTGATTACTATTTGGTCCAATGAGAATTGCCCATCGAAGTAATGACAACCGCGTGCATCTTTGACCTCTCATTGTTATTCATAACTCGCCACGACGTTGTAACCTTTCTTGTTCAGCCATTCAGCCCCTGCTTACGAACCTCGATTGCGTTGGATATTCGTACGTTAGGTGCATCTTCTTGGAATTAAGATGTGTATATATTTTAATTTAATTACACGTTTGTTTATCATGATACTGCTTTAAATAGAGTCAAGTCACAACTAGTTTTATTCATCCTAATGGATGGATTTTTAGCCCTTTGTACACCACGGTCATTTATGATCGCATAGAGTCACAGAAAAAAGTAAAACACAACTTCTTAAAGTCAAGAGGAAGGTGATGTAAAATGTGAAAATGGATGTAATTTACCTGGAACTTTTATAGAGTAGTATCTGACGGAAGTTTTCTGTGCCCAAAATTGCAAAAGATATGGGCTAAAGGGCAAACGGTAGGTTGCGGTACGATTATACACAAGTTTATCGCAACACGCTAACAGAAGTGGATACACCATGTTTAAGTTCTGTGTGTAATGGTTTAGTGATGTCTGGTGGAATATTGTTCCCAGAGATAACGTTTTTGTTGGCGATAAAGTTGAGCAAGATTAAGTAAGTTCGTGAGTTAAATAATTTGAGCAAACCGGCGTAAAATTAAGTAGTTTAAACATAAGACCGGCAGATAAAACTGGGCAGTTGTAAAAATGAGTAGCAACACAATAATATACGAGAGTTCACCAAGATAAAGCGATGTTCTTTAGGGTTGTTTCTTCTCCTATTTTCTGCAACTGTGTAATCGATTTGATTCTGGAAACGTTCCTGTTCTCGTGCTATGGTGGCGGTATCGATATGTTCTCAGGTGATAATTTATTTGTTCTGGAGTGCACAGATGACATTGTACTGTTAAGTGAAAATCCATATAATACACCAGCAGTGCTGGACAATCGAAATCAAAACGCGAAGTCACACTGGTAAATGTTACTCAAATTCTTCAGAAAGTGAGAACTAAAACAAAGACCACAAATATAGCAGTCAATTTATCGCGAGAGGTCATTGTGATTAAATATTATCTGCTGAAGTAGTAGTTCGTATTCTTCTGTACACATATTTTCTGTTTGGG